TTTGTGGGCACGGGGAGTGGAGAGGAAAAGTGGTGGTCACAGTGAGGAGATTTGAGGGAGAGAGTGTGAGGGTGGCTCGCAGTGGTCTAGGTTGAGGCTGGGATGGTCGCGCGACGAGTGAGGGATGGTTGGTGGCTGTGTGCGGGGAAGACTGGAAAAACGACGAAAAACATGTGGAGGGGTAGCTGTAATGGTGGTAAGAATGGGGGAGAGGATGAAGATAGGGAGGAAGGGCTAAGGAAAGAGGGGAGTGAACGTAGGGTCAGTGAATAGTTCAAGGTGGATGAAGGAGAATAGAAAGTGGTGAAGGGTCGTGTGAGTCCGTGAGCGTGGAGGCCCCCTCTTTTACTATTCTTCTCTTTTTTTTTTGAAGAGAAACTTAGGTTAAAATTAGGGTAAATAAGATGGATGGATTAGGCCCAAAAATAAAATTGCATTTTAAATATTTTTTATTTTTATTATTTGTTCTTCTTTTCCTATTTTAAAAAGAATTATTATATTTTTTTATTTTTTATTTTCAATTTTTTTGTGTTTCTAAAGAAAACATTGTCATCTATTATTATTATTATTATTATTATTATTATTATTATTATTATTATTATTATTATTATTATTATTCATATTTACCTAGACGAAATTGGATGTTGATAATTACTATTCTTCTTTAAAGCCAAAATTAGGTCAAAATTGGAGACCTAGGGTAAAGAAACGAATTGGGCCAAAAAATGACCCTTTTCCCCCTTTTTTTGTTTTGTTTATGAAGGAAATCGTACTTTAATTTTAATTTTCTTTTTCTCCCCTATTCTTTTTATTATTATTTGAATTTTAAAAGAAACTTTGCTATTTTTTTTAATTCTCAGCTATCCGGACGAAATTGGGTGCTGACACAACGAAACAATCACATTCCTCTAAGTATTATTGTATAGTTTTCTTCATTCCTTCCAAAATGAAAATATACCGGAAATATTAAAGAGAGGGAGCAATAGAGTGAAAGAGAGAGAAAAGAGAGGGAACTCGAACCTTCAACACTAAGTATAATAATTTTTTTTAATTAATTAAAAAATATCATTATTATATATTAATATTTAATGAAGAATTTATAATATAAATATTAAAAATAATATTATATTTTTTCAAAAGATAATAAATATTTTTAATTCATTATTTATAAATTTAATTAATTAAAAAATATTAATATTATTCATTCATCATTTAAGACAAAAATTTAAAATATAAATATTAAATATTAAAAATAATATTATATTTTTAAAAACAAATTATAGAAAAAGGTTTAAAAATATATATAAATTATATTTATATGTACAAAATATTAAAGATATCTACATTTAAAAAGAATACTAAAAAATACCAAAAATTATACTTTAAATTGATGAAATATATTTAAAAAAAGTTATATTTATTAAAGTATTAAAAAATATTTTGTAATATATAAGTTAAAAAAATTATCATTAAAATTTTTAAAAATTATTAGTTTTCTAATTTATACACAATGAAAATAAATTACAAATATTATAATATATTGATATATTAGTATAGTATAATATATTTATATTCAAATTTTTAATTAAATTAAAATTACGCTAATAATGTATAATAATATATAAAATAATTCTCACATTCTACATTTTTTTAAACTCTATTATTTCTATTACATTATCGTCTTCATCTCCTCCCATATTCTATTTTATCTTTAAAATAATTAATCTTCTTTTCTAAGATACTTTATTTTCTATTTTTTATTATTTATTTTCTTATAATTTAAAATAATTAATATTATTTTAACATTTATTTTTATGATTTTTACTATAATAAATGAAATAAAATGGTTCGATAATATCAATTAATTAAAATCATCACATCAAAAGCTTAGATAACTACACTAAAATTATTAATTTTAAAAATATAAAATATATTTTAAAATAAAAATATTAAAATTATAGATTGGAAATAAAATAGAATAAATAAATACTTTTTACTTTATATTATATTTAAGTTTGTGTACAAATATTGACTTTCTTAACTATAAAGAAATAGTAGAAAAATATAAAGATTTAATTTTGAAGATAAAAACTATTTTTATATAAATTTATTCTAGTATATCAATTAACAATAATAATACATAAAATTTAAAAACTAAACTAAAAAAAGTAAGTTTAAATTTATAAAAAAATTCAATATATAAAAAAGTTGAAATATTAAAAAGGCATAACCTTAAATTATATTAACTGTTTTTTTTTTTTTAAAACTGAGAAGAAAAATTAGACTTTGAAAAAAAAATTAATAATTTTGAAATTATTTCAATGATGAAGTTTCCAAACGTGATCTATATATTTATTGAGTAAAATTTGAAGTGTGTTCAATATAGATTTAAATATATTTTTAATTTATTTAAATATAGTTTATTTTTAATATTTATAAAATGGATTAGTTTTAATTTTTTAACTTTTCTAGCAATCTATTTTTAATCTTTTTTATTAATTATGTTAAAAATAAAAAATATTAATTAGTATACTTAAAGTAAAAACATTTCAACTAAAGATAATTATATTTTTATAAATAATTTAATTAAATAAAATATTTATTATCTAATGTATATCAATTATATTTTGATATAAATTTTTTTCTGGTATATCAATTATATGAAAATAATCATGGTTAAGCAAATGATAATAATAATAAAGCAATAAATTTAAAAACTAGATTAAAAATAAATTATTATAAAATAAAATTGTAATAATTTGATTGAAATTGTAATTTTTTTATTAATTAAGTTAATGAGGAATTAAAATGTGATAATTTGATGTGTTCAATTTTTTTAATATAAAATTTTAAAATATAATTTAATTTCAATTGAAATTTTTAATTGAAAAATATATTAAAGAATATTTATTATTAAACTTTTCTTAAACATTGTATTGAATAGTTAATATCACTTCAATATTAATTTATTACAATTTAAATTTTTAATAAATTTGATTTATTTTTAATAATATTTTTATTTTAGTAATTTAAAACTAAATTTAATCTTCATTTTATTAACATTGATATCAAAGTTTATTTTTAAAGTATATTTTACAAAATAAATTATTTTTAAAAAATAAATTATAAAAAATATACTAAAGCAAGTATATTTATAAAAAAATAAATTTAAATATAATAAAATAAGATAATATTCATTAGCGGACCGATTTTGATTCGGTAGCTATTTTCTCATTAGCAATCGATTATTATTTAGTCGTTATTTCAATTTGTAATTCGGTCGTTAAATCAGTCGTTAAATGATTTTTTTATTTAAGTATGGAATATATAGCCCCGACCAAAATTTTATGACACAAACTATTAGTCATTATTTCGGTTGTTAAATAAAAAAGTGAAACCAAATCATACGTCTATGGCAAAATCAATCGCTAATTGCAACCGAAAAATTTGGTCACTAATTTCGGTCGCTAAAAGTGTTTTTTCTTATAGTGTTTCAAACAAGAAGAGCCATGATTTGCATACGCATCCAAATCTCTTAAAAGATTTCAAAGGTAACTTAGAAAGAATGGAAAGTACAATATATTGATGTAAGTGATTTATGAAGAAAATCGTACTTTTAATTTTAATTTTCTTTTTCTTCCTTACTCTTTTTTTTATTATTTGAATTTTAAAATAAACTCTGCTATTTTTTTTTTAATTCTCAGCTACCCGGACGAAATTGGGTACTGACACAGCAGAACAATCACATTCCCCTAAGTATTATTGTATATGTTGCAATGTCAATAAACTCAATAGAATCAATCCAACAACAAAACCACCTATAACCACTATATTAAAACACCATAACCAAAAATTTATATTCATTTGCCATACCTCCAAATATAACCTTATCTTACAAAATCATCAAACATGTTTCCTTTGGATCAATTGATTTCTTTTATTAGTTAATTTTTATCATCGTCCAATTTATAGACCAATGAACCTATTGACATTTTCTAATAAAAAACCCATTTCCTAATCAAAGAAAGCTCGTTTAATAATTTAACGAACATGTAATATATTAATTATAATATTGAATGTAAATTCAGCGTAATTATTTGGATAAAACATTTGATCTAATATAATCTCACCTCCTAATATAATCACATGCTACAAAATCATCATCCAAATTTGCTTTCAATTAATTGATATTTTTGTTAATTAATGATCATCACCATCCAATTTATACACCAATAAAAATATTGATACTTTTTCTTATAATACTATTTATATGCATGACAAGAAAAAAAGAAAATTTTGAATTCACCTATAGTATGCTTGTAGTAGTTATACAGATAAGTAAAAAATAGATTACAAAAACAAATATGAATGATATTTATCCGTTAATATATATTCAAACAATTCTAAATATATATTAAAATGGTTTAGCGTCATGACAAAATCCATAATATCGAAATATTAACTATAAAATCAAGTGAAGCCTTTAAATATATATTATAAAAATAATGTATCGATGAAATAAATAATTACAACATTTTAAGTAACATATTCATTAATAACTATATTAAGGTATAACATATAGAAAGTTATGTATGTTGATCCATAAAATGTCAATGTTAGCAATTATATTAATTTTCGTAGATTGTTATTAAATATGATAGATAAATCCAATGAATTTTGTAAATACTTTATTATAACTAATCTCATATATTAGAATTTTACCATTGATTCCTAAATTCGTAAAGTATGGAGAAGAGAAGTAAATAATTGTTTATAGAAATTGTGATAGTAAATAGAAATAAAATAAAGCAAATACTAAATAATTGTTTTTATTAATTAGAACCACATAGTTTTCAGCAGTTATAGAAACACAGTACAAGAGAAATTTAGATAAATCTCGTACAACAACATAACACACACTAGTTGGTCAGCTCAGTAGACCAACAGAACTATTTAGTTTTTTAATTATTTATTTTTATAAATTAATTATATTTATATTATTACGGAAACCTTAGAGACCGTACAGGAAGCTTCTTGTATTCACAGTCGGAGTAACGGGTGTTAGCACAGTTGATGTATTGGGGGATAGTGTTTGTGTTCAAACATAATCTTACTTCAACTAAATCCCCCTTAATACATTTTAGTTGTGGTCTAACACCCAGTGATGCTCTTAGGACTGAGATGACCTGGTGTATAGGGTAAAGGGCACCATGTGATATTCCTGCATTTTCTAATATTTTTGCAAGATCATTCCTTGCATAAATATCTAATGTCAGCTTAAAGTAGTCAAGCTGTTGCAGATTAGAACAGGTTCCATGCTTCCACCACTCGTGTATCCAGAACTCTCCGTTTTTCCCGAAATAACTTGGCCAAACTCGCTCAAGTTCACCATCTATAGGTTTGATCTAATAAAATAAATGAACAAAATATCATCTCTTCAATATCATATCAAAATATAATTATTAAGAAATGGAAAACCTTACCGTGGAATTATCCAGTTTCTCCGTTGTGCACTGTAATGGCGGTGACCAGCGGTACGTAGATGGCCATAAACCATGAACCGTGAATTTATACGGTTTCGGTACTGTTGCCGCACACTGTTCATGCATGCAAAATCCTGGTGGCCAAGTTTGAGCAATCATCCAGTAATCAAATCCATTACTGGAATCATACAAAAAAACAGATACTGTAAATATAAAAATCAAGTAATTCATTGTAGATACGATGTGTGGACGCTACTGCATACTCATCTCATCTCAATTTATAAGCTGTAAATTTACTAAACCAATACCAATAAATTTGGTATGCTGAAATTCGGCCTACATTTTACATAACACGTGCCTCTTACTATACATTGCAGAAGAAAGAGATTGAACCATCCAAATAAAATTATAAAAATTTATTCAGATCTACAAAGAGAGCATAGTTTGATGGAAGAATTTATTCAGAAATTAAAAGAAAGAACGAGAGAATCATTACATAGTTAACCAAAACCAAAATATTTGGCATACTGAATTTTTTGGCTTGCATTTTTCTTCAGATTCAACCGTTACTGGAACCTATGTCTACTTCTTATTATACCAAATATAAAAATGATTTCATTGGCATATGTTAACATGTTACGTGTCCCTATAAGCTATAGTACTCCCTACAAATAATCTTTCAGAAAACTAATCATTTTGTAATAGTTCTCTTACAATAAATAAAAATAAATTTAATTAAACTTATTATGTTAGAAATGTATTTTGACCAGTTTATATATTAATATTTATAAATTAAATAAAAATGTATCAGTAATTTTATGATAACATATTTTTTAAATATACAATTATTTTGAAACCAAAATTTTATATATATTAAAACTGTGAAGAAAAAGTTTGTGCGAATTTGAAATTATATATGCAGGCAAAATATCTTATTTAATTTAAAAATTTACCGAAAGTTTTTTTTATAATATTTTCTAGGATATCAACTATGAATTTTACTTTTACAGATAATTAATTATCTATGAGTAAGTTCTACCAATTAAAATTTTTAAAATAATTTTTAAAAAATTCAATAAAATATTACAATTTTTTGTTATAAAAGCTCTAAGGAAGTCTTTGTATTTCAGTATATCATCACATGGTTTAATCTTGAAAACTCTTTAACAATTATTTGTATTAGCAATATTACCTGATTTTAAATAATTTAATCTCATACATTTATCTATCATGAATATAACTTTTTAAATTAAAATTTAATTTTTCACGAAATTTAGTATAAAACGAAAATGAAAATATGAAAGAAGAATGATGTTTATCGAAGGTTAAAGTTTCTGTCATGATGTTCACATAAAAATTTGATAAAGAAAAAATTATAAAAAAAAATCAAAGAGGTGATCTCATAAAAACAATAATAAATTATAAATAAATAAAAAAGAATTTAGAGAAGAGAAATAAAATTTGAAATTTGAAATTCAAATAAATATATATTAAAAGAAACAATCCAGCAATTTTAGACATGTGTTTTATTATATTTTATTTATATTGTTCAGAAAGAGATAAAAAATATAATATATTAATTATTTAAATTTAAGAAATTATAATTAAAATAAAAATATTATTAATATTTAATATTTATTAACCTATCATTATTAATAGTTGTATTACAGAATTTATACTTTCTTGTTTTTTATAAAATAATAATATATTACTCGGAAAAACGTCTCTAAAATTTAGTGAGAATAATATTGATTTAAGATGTTTGACTCTATTTTCATATTTTTCTAGTATTAAAAAGACCTTGTTTACTTTATTTTCTTAAATTATATTCATACATTTTTTTCATAAAATTATAATGCAAAATAAATAAATAAATAAATGTATATATTATCGATATATCAAAGGATTTTTTAGTTTTCATATACATTTGATGCAAAATTGATAAATCAAACTAGCTATTTATTTCTTCAATGGAAAGAAAACTTTCCTTATATATTACTAATTTGGATGAATTTAGTTTTTTTCCAACACCAAATTTCTCAATTATGTGGGTACTTAAATCCAACCAAACTAATTCACCATCATATGTTTGGAATAGCATATTGCCCATATTCTTTGCTCCAACAAGACGAGCAATGCAAGGTGAGAGATCGAGAACGAAAATTTTTGCCCATGTTTCCTTCTTACCGAGTTCAACCAAAATTGATATATAAAATGTATTTGAATTTCCATACTTCGACATCACAGCGATAGACCCATTTAAGACCAATAAATACCAATAGATATAATGATCAAAATTATCATAGGTTTGGATAGATATCTCTAAGGGCATGAGAGTCCTATAACACACCTCATTGCTCAATTCATACGACACCAAATATTCTTTACTATCATTTTGATGACCAAACCAATGACATATTCCATCCAAGTACAACTGTTGATCACAAAAAGAAGAACTGGGAATATCTTCATCAATTTTAAGTTTTCTCCAAGAATTACTTCTTAGGCTATACATCTCCCATAAGGATTCACATATGTTATAATAATCAGGGTATTCATCATCTTCATTTAATGGATAGACATCATCTTCATTCAATGAGTTATCATATTCATTCCATGCATTTGGGTTATCATTGTCCCATTCATCCAAATTATTTGTAAAATAATTTACATCCCTAATCACCTTATAATCATCTCTAATAGAATCATAACGCGCTAATGAGTGGAGAAATATAATATGGTACAGATTTTATTCGACTGGGAGGAACGACCTTTAACTTACCTGTAGCAGGGTTCCACAAATACAATATTTCACTATCCCCTGAGTGGAGGCAAAAAATTCCATTAATACTAGAATTACCCAAAATATACCAACCTAAGGTATGTTTCTCTAGAATTTCATTTGGCCATTGTAGTTTGTCCATATTTTGCAATCTCTCACCATAAAGTGAAAATAGGGAGGTTTCAGAAAAATATTGGTGAAGTATACCGATATGTACAAGGAGAGATGTATCGTCATAATAAGAATGATGTTTGGATATGAAATAACTACGAAAAATGTTCATGAAATGAGAATTTTCAAACAACAAAGCCCATGATTTGTATACGCATCCAAATCTCTTGAGAGATTTCAAAGGTAACTTAGAAAGAATGGAAAATACAATATCTTCATGTAAGTGATTTATAACCTTTGAAATCAATTTATTGTCTACTTTCTCATCTTTCGCCATTGCCTTACAATTGCGTATATTTTGCAATGTTAACAAATCTAATAGAATCAATCCAACAATAAAACCACTTATAACCACTATATTAAGTCACCATAACCAAACATTTATATTCATTCACCACACCTCCAAATATAACCTCATCTACAAAACCATCAAACACGTTTCTTTTGGATCAATTGATTTCTTTTATTAGTTAATTTATATCACCATCCAATTTATACACCAATGAATCTATTGACATCTTCTAATAATAAACTCATTTTCTAGTCAAGCAAAGCTCGTTTAATATTTTAAAGAACATGCAATATATAATTATAATACTAAATGTGAATTCAATGTAATTATTTAGAAGAAATATTTGGTCTAAGATAATCTCACCTCCTAATATAATTACATCCTACAAAATTATCATCCCAATTTGCTTTCAATTAATTGATATTTTTTTATTAATTAATGATCATCATCATCCAATTTATACTTTATAATTTTTTTATAGAATAATAATATATTTATACTTTATAATTTTTTATAGAATAATAATATATTAATGGAAAAACGTCTATAAATTTTAGTGAGAAAAATATTTATTTAAGATATCTATCTCTATTTTCGTATTCTTCTAGTATTAAAAAAACCTTGTTTACTTTATTTTCTTAAATTATATTCATACATTTTTTTTAATATTTTACATATAAAAAAAACACAAGTGTAACTAAAATCCATCTTATCACATTCAAGCATCCAAAATTTTAATAGCATCACTCCCTCTCCTGTTTCAAATTTCAAGGATTTCAAATACCATAAATTCAGACCATAAAAAAATACATCTTTGTTTCATGTGATAACACGTGTTTAAAGTTAAAAATCATTTTAAAGTAACAATAAACAAAAATAAAAAATTGACAATAGAAACAAAACAAAGAGATTAAACCTTCCACTTAAAATTATAGTGAAATATACATATTATAGATCTACCAAATGATTTCTTAATTTATCATGTACACTTGGTTATAATGCGAAATTGGCATAAACTAAGTCAAATTTGTAATAATAGATAATAATATTGGTAATTAAATCAATAATAAAATTAATTACTCTCATAAATTAAATCGATAATAAAATTAAATACGGTTATGAAATAATATTTATTTTACATTAATATTATTATGAAATATTATGAAAATAGTTATTATGAAAAATATTAATATTAATTTTTTTTATTCGATAGGAATGATATTTACTTCTACTGATCCAATGGAAAATCATAATTAAATATTAATATTCTTTGTTTCATTAATAAATTTAGTGAGCTCCAACAGTAGCTAGTTGTCAAATACTGATTATAATTAATATTATAATTACATGTTAATTAAATACTCGTTATGGTAATAATGAATCTTCAATATTATAATTAATATTACATGTTCATTAAATTACTAAACAAGTTTTGCAATATGTCAATATGTTTATCGGAAATGGATGGTTATACAAGTAACTAATAGTAAAAGAAATTAATTATCTAAAAGAAACGCGGTTAATAATTGTGTAACATATGATCATATTATGATGATGAATTAGTTTGGATAGATTTAAGTATGAAAAATTTGATGTAAGAGAAAAGTTAGATTAATTCAAATTAATAATTTATAAAAAAACACTACAAGAAAAAACACATTTAACCACCGAAATTAGCGACCGAATTTTTTCGGTCGCAATTAGCGACCGATTTAATTTTAGTCGCATTTAGAGACCGATTTAGCGACCACTTTAATTCGGTCGCAATTAGCGACTCGATTTAGCGACCAAAATATGATTTGGTTTTCACTCCTTTATTTAGCGACCGAAATAGCGACAAATTTTTGTGCGTAGCAAATTTTCAGTCGCTAAATCGGTGGCTATTTCATACATAAATAAAAAAATCATTTAGCGACTGATTTAGCGACGGAATTACACATTGAAATAGCGACCGAATTAAAATCGGTCGCTAATGAGAAAATAATA